TGTTGGCTGCARTTTCCACAAGGCCGCCAGGCAGAAGGGACACTTGTCACAACAGGATGTTCAATCAGTTCCTTCATCTCTGCTCTGCTGACTGAAGCTGCATGTGGTCCACGAAGGATCTGAGCACGTGAAAGGTCTGCTGTTCCCAGAGCAATAGCCTTCCATTAAAGGCCATTTTACAGGTCTCACTGCGCTTTTATAGGTCCCTGAGCTGGTAAAAATGCACCCTTGAAAACAGGCTCTTGTGTGGCGTGCAAGCAGCAACAACAGCTCGGAGCAACGGGAGGGCTCCTGCAATTCCCGCTCCAGGCAGAGCCAAGGCAGGAAGGGCCCAGAGCCCGGGCCTGCGCAGGGAGCTGCTGCCCCCCGGTGCCTCGGGGCCAGAATCGCAGCCCACACCGGCTGCGGCACCGGAGCAAACAGGTACAGGACGGGGGCTCGATATTGGGGGTGCTTCTAGGAAGCTGGTGCTGGTCCATTCACCACCCGGGAGCCACGTTCACAGAATCAGAGTGGTTGAGGTTGGAAGGGACCTCTAGAGATCATCTAGTCCAACYCCCTGCTCAAGTAGGGCTGTCTAGAGCACATAGCACATGATTGCATCCAGGTGGGTTTTGAAGATCTCCAAAGAAGTGGACCCTACAACCTCTCTGAGCAGCCTGTTCCAGTGCTCTGTGGCTGTAAATTAGCTACAGAGCCATGAAAACAGGGCTGAACAGGGAGCAGAAGCAGTCTKGGATATTCCCCAGAGGTGGCGGACCACCAGTGAGGTGGGACCTGATGAGGACATGTCCAGATCTGCCCTGGAGCCAACCAGTCACGGTTGCCCTTGCTCTGTTTTCTTAGCATCTGACGGCTAGCGCCGAGTGGAGGGCAGGACACACGGATAAGCAGCTCTGCGGTGTCCTCGTGGCAGAGGAGACCGCTGTGTTCCCTTGCCCTAGAGGCTTCGGAAATCTTGGCTGTTTGGCCTCAGAGCCCCAAGTGGCATGAATCGAAGTACAGCTCCAATGGGTTTCCAAAAGCTGCCAGCTGGGCTCAGCACTGCGGTAGAAGAGGTCGGTGCCCACGTGTTGCTTGATGATGTTACCGTGTCCTGTCGCCCATTCCCATGGGGAGCTGAACCTGCTGCTGGGCAGGGAGCAGAGCTCCTGCCTGTGCCAGGCTCCAGCTGCACCGCGGAGACGACAGGGAGACCAGGGCTGTCCAGCGCCCGAGAGGCTCCAGGCCTCCCCCAGGCTTGGCCCCTTGGGGCCCCGCTAATAGAGCCACCAGGCAGTGCCACTATGAGAGGTGCCAGCAGGGATGGGTGAAGATGGATACAGAACACACGGAGCCCTGCATTGGGTTATGGGGTTTTATCTTCGTTGCTCCAGATTTTCGGATGGCCCATGGGGGAAGGGAGAAGACTGGGGCACATCTCCCAAGGGAACCTGCCCTTGTACCTCTGCCTCAGCTGCTGAACCTGGGCTTCTTTTCAAGGCTTGGTTTGCCAGCCAGGCAGCCGCTGGTCTTCTGGTCAGGTTGCCCATCTCCCCTTCCCTCCTGTCCGGAGCCCCGCTGGGAGGTTCAGTTTGATGGTTCCACCCGCCGGGCAGGAACCTCCTCCTGGCCGCCTGCCGCAGACGCTGCCACTTGCTCTGCAGGCTGCGAGCAGGGAGAGGAGCAGAGCAGAGCTCAGCGGGCAGCAGGACGGGCTCTGCTCGTGCACCCAGCACCCCGCGCTGCCCCGGCCCTCGGCACTGCCGGCAGCGGGACCTGCCGCAGGCCCCGCGGCCGCCGGGACAGCCCTGGTCCCGCGGGGCTGCAGCGCACAGCAGCTCTGCTCTCACCGTCTGCTCAGTGCCGAGCCCCAGCGGCGGCGGCCGGCAGGGCCAGCGGGGCCAGGGGCATCGGGCGCCTCTTCCCCCCCGGGCTCTTCCTCCTCCTCCTCCTCGCAGTGCGGGAAGAGCTTGGCCTTCTCCYTCTGCTGCCCAAGCACAAGAGTGAGGAGCTCCGTGAGGCTTCCGCAGGAAGAGCAAGGACGGC